AACAATAACAATACGACAACAACAAACAAATAACAAAGCTACCTAGTTGAAACATGCAGTCATAGTCAAATTCCTATCGATACTAGTCAGGTTTGAATTTTCTAGCATTTTTCAGGAGTGCGATTCTCTTCTTGTCTTGCATGAACTTTTCTCGCAGTTCGTTGAGTTCTGGAACATGATTGAGGAGGGTGAGGGAGTTAGAAGTAGAAAACCAGTCAAAAAAACAAACTCACTCTTCGCTCTCGTATTTTTCTTGTCGAATGAGTAGAATGCCAGATCAACCTATAGCCACAGAGTTTACAAGGGGAGTGGACATTCAACTAGCAAAGCGCAACTCACATGATTTTTCTTTTTATGAAATCCGCCCATCAATGGTACCTCATCTTTCTTGACCTTCATAACTTTCCCCACCTAAAAACATCGAAATTCAAAATCTTTGCAACTCACAAGCAGAAAAATATTCAGGATGAGATAACTCACCCTTTTCGCAGCTTTGGTTACGGTTATCCAGCCTTCCTCATCAGGTTCAGTGAGTTTTCGCTTAGCTACTCGTTTTGCCTGGAGATTTAACATTCTCATCAGATAAACTTTGCGTTATAGATGTGAAACACCTCTTGTGCTTCTTTATCCTGCTGCTCGATGAAAACCGTGGCCGATTTTTGTATTTCTTCGGGTGACGGGAAAAGACTTCGATACAACGCCACAGAATCTGAAGCACACCGTTTATTAAGAAAAAAATTTCCCAAGATTCTTACTTTGAAGAACGGAGGGGATCTCAGGGTCGACAAAATCGCACACCCTGTATGGTCCGACGTCTTGACATTTCGAAAGAGCTATATCAACACCTTTAGAATCCTCAAATCGCACTGAGACCGTCAGTTGCCCCTAAATTATCAGAATTCCGACGAGATCCAAAAGAAACAGCAACTGACATAGTTAAGAGAACCATCCACAGCATTGCTTCTTTGCACCAAGACCTCGCTGATTGGCACTGGAACAAACTGCCCAATGAAACCTTCGACTGTGCCCTGCAGCAGTGCAAATATTGAAAAAATAAAATCAAAAGCAACAAAAAAGGACACGGCAACATTCACGTAAGATTATTCTCGAATAATTGCTCAAACTGCTTGAAAGTGCGATATAAACACAGGCGGAGAGGAAGTAGAGTTACAGGGAACAGATCGGCACAATCAAGTATTAGCTAGGGAAGGATTTTCTCAGCTATGGAATATAGTACCAGCTTAACCCACTTTGGGACCTTTAGGTGGTACTATAC